ATTGTTACCAAAATTACCAGATACCTATCCTTGGGATCAATGTCAAATACAAAGAAAAAAAAAAAAAAAAAAAAAAAAAAAAAAAACAAAAACAAAGAGAGTACTAAAAGGATATGTGGTGTGAATGTGGAGTAAGTACTTGATGTCATTCTGAATTGGGACAGGATACCCTTATCATAGGCAATTACATCATATAAGAATAGTTTACTGTCTATTAACTGCCACTAAAAAAATATTTTAGACAAAAAGAAAAAGATTTATATATAAATCATGAATGAAAATTTATTATCAAAAGCTATTGCTACTAGCTTTACTTTATACGCGCAAAGATGTATATAATACGATGCAATAAAGAAGAGAGAAATGGTGTGTGTATTTTATTTCAATGATATTTGAGTTCCTGTATATCATCACAGAGCAGGCTACCCCGTGCTTTTCATGGATGTTACAAATAATTAATTAGGTTACTTGTACCAGCTATTGGCGTCATTTTCTTTGCTACTTCTGATAAACTTTGTCCATCCATGTCCAACTTCTTCCCCATCACGTTACTGATATTTAATGATATTATCTAAAAACATTAAAAAGGTTAGATAATACACCATTTGATGGTCATTTGTTACTTGATGATTTTTTAACCAGTTAAAATAGCTCGAACTTTATACTTTCAATCTTGTCAGTTTTTCTTTGTGAAGGTGCAATATGTTAAACTGCTATTTTTGTTTTTTTTGGGGTACGCTCCTTTTAATGATGTCTATATCAACTCTGTCCAAATACTTTACATAATGCTCATTTATACCATATCCATCACCAACTCCAAAAAGGTAAATATAAAGCTCAATAATTCTGAAACTGGAATAAAGCTTTTTGAGAGCAACTGTCATCTTCAAGGGGTATTTGCCTTAAGCTTTAGTGTTAGGTTTGACAGGTTTCCTAATTAGTACAAGCTCCGCTTGTGCTTGCTTTAAAATGCAGTCGCTTGTATTACAATGCTTAGGGGTTTTCCAAAACTATTTTCCGACTGTTTCTGGTTGAATACATGATGCTGTTACCTCTGTTACCCTCTAAAGCCAGCTGATGAACTTATTAGCTTTACTATTCTCCAAAGGATCACCGGGGGTTATAGCTAGTACCATGTATTTAAATTGGTCACATGCCCCAGCTCTCTATTTATTCAATCTCAGCTACTAGACGATGTCAGGCATTTCTAGTTGTCACTTTTTAATTAGTTCTTCCTTCTTTTTATTAACTAATTATGCAGGGAAGCATACCACAAATCAATATACAACCAAGCCAAGAGCTGCTACTTGATGAATTCAAATAGAACCAGCAGCTACATTAATGAGGATGTGCATTAATACCTTGCTTTCTATTGAGCAGTTCTTAATAAAACAAAAACTGTTGTTATCGGACACGGACGGAAAGGATGACACGGCCATCCAACTACTACACAAGGCCACCCCAGATATTTTCGGCAATGCTTATCCAAAAGAATCAGCAGCCGAAAAATAAAAGATGATTGCAGCAAAACATTCAATGCAATCAACATGGCAAAACAAGATTTAGTGGAAAATGTCAAAAGCGAAGCTTCACAAAGACGGATACTAGAGTTCTATCATTGAAATAAATATAACGTAGATGCTTTACCAAGAGAAAAAAGAGCAAGACCGCCCAATAGTCAATCTGCTGACCAAGATAGACTAGAAGCTTCGAATTGGGTAAAGAAAGAACTTTTTCGACAAGTGTTCTTCACCAAAACGTTTAAAGACTGTATTCTATCGCTACATATAAAATAGTATATCTTCAATAAACCTATTTATTTTCACAGCAAATTCATGCACTTGTAATACTGGAGAAAATAAACGCAGCCATTTTTTCAGTACCAAAATGTCATAGCATCAAAGAAAAGCAGAATACGACACACCAAGCAACGTTTTATATACCCAAAAGATTAAATCGTCTTCTAGAACCTTGCCGCTTGTAAAAAACGTAAGTGTTCACTTTCTGAAAGTGAGCGAAAAATCGACTTTTATGAGATAACAAAGCCTTTACTATCTCATTGTTGCCTCTCTTACACAAATTTACATGATTTACAGAATGCTTAAATATACAGTGTTTATCACTAACTGCGAAAATTTAAAGCTTAGTAATCGTGAAGCTGGAATAAGCGCATGTAGGAGCAAATGCTGTCTTGGTAGTTAGTTTGACAGGCTTTCCTAATTGATACAAACTCCGCTACCAATTGCTTTAAAATGCGGTCACTTGTATTAGTAAACATCTGCGCCGTAGTAGTAATGCATATATAAAGAGAACCTATTGTTTCTTTTCCCTTTCTTTTTTCTTTTCTTCTTTTCTTCCTTTCACAGAACAACAAAAACAACATGGGTCGTCGTCCAGCTCGTTGCTATAGATATTGTAAAAACAAGCCTTATCCTAAATCCAGATACAACCGTGGTGTGCCAGATCCAAAGTTAAGAATTTACGATTTAGGCCGCAAGAAGGCCTCTGTTGATGAATTCCCTCTCTGTGTTCACTTGGTATCCAACGAATATGAACAACTTACTGCTGAAGCACTTGAAGCAGGTCGTATTTGCGCCAACAAGTACATGTCCAAGACATCAGGCAAGGATTCATTCCACATGCGTATCCGAGTTCATCCATACCACGTGACTCGTATCAACAAGATGTTGTCTTGTGCTGGTGCAGATCGTTTACAGACAGGTATGCGTGGCGCCTTTGGTAAACCAAATGGTCTTGTCGCACGTGTGAACATTGGACAAATCATCTTTTCAGTACGCTCCAAGGATACGAACAAGGCTGTTGTTATTGAAGCACTGAGACGTTGCAAATACAAGTTTCCCGGTCAACAAAAGATTATTATTTCCAAAAAGTGGGGATTTACTCCTTTGGATCGTCAAGCTTACATTGAAGCTCGTTCCAAAGGTTTGATCAAGCCTGATGGTTCTTATGTCAAGTTTGTTCCTCAAAAGGGACGTCTTTCCGAGTACTTTAACGCTGTTCGTGCTTAACTACACTGGATATTCATAATAAAAAAAAAAGATGCTTCTTTTTTTGTTTAAAGAGATAAAGAAAGAGGAATGTGCACTTTTTTCAGAAATTAGTCGTACGCATTAAAAGATCAATAACAATTAACAATTTAGTTGATTTTCTATGTCTTCTTTACTATTTAAAAGACAACATGTAATAGTACATAAAATGAGCTTGATATTTTTGAGTATAAAATAAATGTGGTCAATGCTTTTTATAAATGAAACGTTGTTAGAGACTTTGTTTAAATAGTCTGATATTGACTTCTTTTTCTTCTTTGGGCCAAAAAGCAAGACCAACTATCCCCCAGCTAGCCCTAATGTCTGTTATATTCTTTACTCTTGTAAGAAACTGATATGTAGTATTATAGATCAGAATCGAAAACAGTACCGGTGCTAGCTGAGGGTAGCTTGGCCCTTACCAAACTTTGGTCCCATCCGCTCTCTTTGCTTGCTTCTATTTTTTGTTTCTTTCTTTGCTCTTTCCAGACTGGTTATCGCCAGCCCTATTTAATGCGCTTTGGGTAAGATATTAACAACCTCTCTATATGTTTACTCATTTTTCTTGTTTCTTTTTTCTCTTATAAATCCTCTTCTTTATAATGTAAGTATTTAATATCGCTGTAAATAACTGGTTTACTAATCATTTCTTTATTCATTCTTTTGCTTCTGATTGGCTCTCTTTTATCATTACTTGTTGTCTGAAATTAACATTTTTTATCAGTGAATAAATTGTAGGTGCTATTTTAAAAGTATGATATGATCTAAATTTAGTAAGCATTAAACCACATGTAAAATATACCCTGAGTACTGAAAAGAAAGAAACGAGAGATATCGTATGATGCAGTAGGGCTGTTTTGATCATGCGATCTGTTGCTTGAGTAAGGTATATCTTATATATACATCTTAGTTTAATGTGCGCACGTAATGATATTATAATTCATGAGTCTTCAGTTATTAAATATATAGAACTGCTTTATTGGGAATTCGGTTCACCTTTATGAAAGAGTGGTAGGACTAAGCGGAAATTTCCAGGTAATTTAAGAATTCTTTTTTAGCTTTTTGTGTGCATATTAAACATGAAACAATGGGTTGAACAGGGTCTTGAGATTTAGAGTAGATCCTGCCTTTCTTTAGTTAGATTTAAAGGGAAAAGTAAAAGAGTTGACATCAATCCAAGAGTATATCACTTTTTGTACATTTAAAAATTGAGCAAAGGGTCGCTTATGTAATATTCAGTGTAAACAGTTTCTTATAGTTTAATGACCCCTTTTTCCCAGAAAGAAGAGAATTATTTACTCTGAGGTCGTACGAATCGTTGTTTTTTACAACGAAAGATAAAGTTTTTGCCCTTAATTAATACTCTCTTGTTAAAGATCACAATAATATCAATCATACTTCTCCCTCTTTTTGGGCTATTTGTTGCCTTTTTATTATCCTTTTAAATCAAGTGTTTAGCCTTTGTCTTCGCTTCCCTAAATGGTGTGTGAAGATATGCTGTTCCTGGGTATTACATGTGTTGACTTTCCTTTTAACTGCTTGTACCAGTCTCCGCTAAGCTGGCCATCATTAAGTATTTCATTTCCCGATATCAACCACAAGCAATATCTTCTCTCTCTCTCTCACAAAATATCAACCTTACGCACTTTAGCATTTTAAAAAGCTATTTTTATCCTCATTTTTTTTTTCTTTTCCAACCTTTTTCTTTTCCCTTTTTTCTTTTTTCCTTTCGTTTAAAAAATGACATCCATTAGTACAGCAACAGAAGGAGATAATTCATGGATAAAAAAACGCACAAGTATCTTCACTAACCCAGCAACGACATCATCCACTACTACAAACAATTCTTCTGTCAATAAAGTGGTCGACAAAGAATTGGCTCGACTCAAAAACATCGGTGCAGTTTCATCAGTCTGGTCAAACAAATTTGTTCAAGAAGATTCAGGAGGTAGTAGTACCACAGAAAAAATAACCCCTTCGTCTCCACCTCTCTCAGGACGCCTCAATAAAATCAATATGTCCCCTCGACCGAATGCTAACTATATACCTATCGCAGGAAATACGAACCGTCAATCAGTAAACAGCAATCAGTCGACCTCTCCAAAGTCACCCACCTTCAATGTCAGAGCTCGTACCCTATCAGGCAATAACAAAGAGCTTGCCAAAGATATCTCTGCCGCCCTTCAACAACAGCATGACAATAAGCCTCCTGCTTCTAATCGCCTAACTACAGGTTCTGTATCAAGCTTTGAGTTAAGTCAAGATAATCGATCCTCATCTGGAAGTGTTATTTCTAATTCAAGCCAAGTCACTGTGAACTCATCTACATCCGCTCAGTCATCAACATCCAATACCTCTGCCACGGTAGATCTGGATGAAGCCGCCTCTCTCTGGTTCCAGTGCGAGACACTCAAGACACAATATGCTCAAATCAATGCCCGCTTGAGTAGAGCCAATGAAGATATCGCGTTTTATAAACGTCAATTAGAGAATCTAGATGCTTCTACCCGCGAAGGCTTGGCAGCCGCGGCTGAAGAACGGGATAAGGAAGTGGAACGGGTTAAGCAATTAGCTGAACTAATTATCAAACAAGATGAATTATTAAGCGAATATGAAGTGAGTCTCGAGCATCTTCGCAAGTCCGCCACCGAGGCTGCTGCTGCTAATTCAGATGATGGAGCCAAGGCTGAGATCGAAGCCCTCCGCCATGAACTCACTGGACTGTACAGACAAAAGGAAGAGATGGAGTGTGCTATCACAGCCTTGCGTGCCGAATTGGAAATGAGCTACAGTCAAATGCGACTGATGATGGTTGTTTCAACAGAAATTCAAAATGAATTCGATAACTACAAGAAGAGAATGGATGTTGAAATAAAGGAACTTATTGCCGAGAAGCAACAAGAACACAAGAAAGAGATGGAAGCACTTGAACAAAAATTGACCACGAACCCTGTTCAAAGAGAAGTCGTTCATCATGCCTCTGCTGACTCTTCTCTAGAAGAATTGGAAACCCTTCGTAAGCAAGTGAATGATCTGATTGATGCTGCAGAAGAAAAAGATAAAGCAAACAAGATTACTGTAGTTGAACACCAGAATACACTCAAGGTCGTTCAAGAGCAAGTGATTGAGTTAAAGGAATTAAAGCAAGCACTCGAAGAAAAGGACAAGGTCATCTCGGAAGCTACGGCTAGCAGTCAAAAAACAATCCAGTCACTTCAAAACCGAATTCAAGAACTAAGCCAGACCCTTGAACACAAAGATAAGATCATTGCCGACCTCGAAAACCAAATGAAGGCGCAAAAGATGAACATGGACTCTCAGATGATGGACCTCACTCAAAGTATTCTCGAGAAGGACGCCCTCTTGCTTGAGTTCATGAGCAGCCGTAACAACAGCTCTGAAAGCAATGTCATGTGTACCTCTCCTACTACAACTACCGAAAAGCCGGCGTTTAACAATGACACTGATACCTTTTATCAACGTCAAACAGAAGCTCATAGACAAATGTCTCAAGTACGCGACTACATGTATACCACCTCTTCCGATGAAGAAGAATTAGATGCTTACTCAAGTGATGAAGAAACCGCTCACCCTGTTCATCAGTATCATACATACAACAGTACCAACAACACCCACAGTGACAGCAAATCTATATCGTCCATCACGCACGGTGAACATGCTCCTCAAAGCCCTGCAGACACCATCTCTTCCAGCATTACCTTTGATTCCTCTGATGAAGAAGAGCAAGTAGCCGAAATCAAGCACCTTTCCTATTCCTCTGTACATTCTCAATCCACCTTGTCTCTTCACAGCCACAGCAGCACAGCCATTGGTTCATCCCAAAGCCCTGAAGAAGAGAAGCGCAACAGCAACAGTAGCAACACATTGTCTCCTTATAGTGCTGTCAAGGATACTTCAGCAAAAGCAACATCATCTAGCTGGCCAATGCCTCCTCCAACTCCTCCACCTTCAGAACCACTTCCTCCTCTGCCTGTTCCTTCTTCTGGGAACGAACCTGTTACATCAGCTGTTGTTCCTCCTCCACGCCGTGCTCGGTCCAAGACGATGGTTCGAGAAGAAAGCCCTTCTCCTTATACGACATCCATTCACAAGTCCAATGAACTTCCTCGCATTGTTCCTTTACAAAAAGATACCATGATTGATACTATGCCAGTGCCTCCACCTCGTAAAGACATCAAACATACCACTTCAGAATCAGCATCTCAAGTATCATCAAATCCTCCTTTAAACACAAAATGGATGGATGACCCAGAGAGTGAAGAAGAACATTGGAGTGAAGCTCAAAGCAATTAAATAGCTTTTCTCTCTCTTTTTATTATAAGTTTTTGTAGATTTAGAACCCTTTTTTCTTTTTTTTATTCATTTTATAAAATATCAATGTATGTTAGACATTTTTTTTTCTTTTATTGTTATTCATATGTTCAATAAAGCAATCCTTATTTTACCATGTAATTATATGAAAGTTGTTCGGCCCTCAATTGGAGTTTGAATTTTAATTGGACAAAAAAAAAACAAGCAGCTGGACAGGGAAGTCTATGAAAGCAAACGAGAGGCAGGTCAATAATTCCTTCTTTCCCCGCATAGGTATGAATCTATCCAACTGCTGCATCCTATGATCCATTCGATCACAAGTACATCCATCCATCAAAAAGGAAGAAGAAAGAGCGAACAGATTGAAAATAGAGACATCCATATCAGCTTACAAACATATCATTCATCCATCCATCCATCTGTCCAACAAACTGAACTATATAGAGAAAGATACAAGGGACGAGAGAATGTGTGTATGAGTGCGAGAATGAAAGAAGAAATGATAGTTTCAATGATTGGATAGGCAGCACATTATGTTGAATTGAAAGGAGAGAATGGACATTTGGGATGCAGCAGAAAAAGGAAATATAAAGATTAGCCCAGAATCATTAACATTGATTATAGAACCAACATGCTTATTTCCAAAGAGAATAGAAAGGCCATCTACTCGGCTCTCTTCAAAGGTTCGAGGTGCATTTACATCATTATGAACAACACTGACATTTTGTATAGATGGTGCCCTTTGTGCTCCCAAGGACTACAATGCTCCCAAGCATCCCGAAATTGATGTCCCTAATCTCGAAGTCATCAAGGCTATGCAATCTTTGACCTCCAAGGGTTTGGTCAAGACTCAATTCTCTTGGCAATGGTACTACTATACCCTTACTGATGAGGGTATTGACTACCTCCGTGAATGTAAAGTATATACATATGAATGAAAAAGAGAATATAAACTTATATATATTCTCTTAGATCTTCACTTGCCTCAAGAAATTGTTCCTGCCACTATGAAGAAGACTGCCCGTCCTGCTTCTTCTGCTCCTCGTCGTCCTTGTAAGTAACCTATATAGAAACAGTAGCATATGTGTGCTAATTCATCTTGTAGTCGGCGGTGACCGTGAAGGCCGTGCTCCTCGTGGCGATCGTGATAACTACAGACGTAAGGAAGGAGCTTCTGGCGATTTCAAGCCTGAGTTCCGTGGTGGCATGGGTAATTATTATTAAAGGATGAATTTTATTGAAAAGTGACTCACTGTTTAAATAGGCCGTGCTCAACGCGAATAAATTGTTGCTATTTTTGAACTGATTTAGCATTCTTTTTATAAAGTATTGTGTTTTTTGTATTTTCTACGGGTCTCTCCCTTTTTTTTTTATTTATAGAAAAATGTTTATCCAAGAGCTTCAGACAATTGAGTATAAGCTGTCTTTGCTCGATCACGGACATCAAAGCATGGATCATCATCTATCAATAGTTCCAATTTGTCTTGTACTCCCAAATCTTTTAAGCGCTTGCATCGATTCACCAAATCTTCTTTTTGGTCGTTTGTATCTCCCCAAGTCCAGTTAATTAATACCCAGGCAGCAGCTACTCTTACGGCATCATCCTCATGACTCTGTTTTCCATCTATATTTTTAGCAAGCAATGAACGCATACCTTTTGTCATTTGTTTTCATTCACTTACCAAGAGTTCAATCGCGCTTCTCACAATGATATCCCTACTCATCAAATCCATCTTAGGTGCTTCAGCATTACTGCACATATTTACAATGATATATAACGTTGGCACTAGTATCTAAATCTAGAGAGTAAATATAGGGGGTGTAATTCATCATCAACACAATCTTACAGAAGACGCCACTGGTTCCTCACCATCCTCATGTGTATCCATCGTCTGCAGTTTACTCTCTATGACATCCAATAAAATCTCTTTACCCATCTTTTCATAGACCCAGTCAATATCCTCTTGTTCGCCAAACACCAAATTTCTAACAATTTCCAGTGCTTGTTCTTGGATTGTCGTATTCCGATCATGCAGTAAGTCAACAAGTGAGTCAAACGAGAGTGCCTCCATCACTGACTTTTTCTCATCCAATTCTGCCTTGAACAAGAGGTTATTGATAGCCCATATACCGTTGATTTTCAAATTGGAATCACTTGATTTTGAATATTGCACAAATTTATCTATAGCTCCTGCTTCTAAAAGCGATTTCTTCATAGGTGAAAAGTGTAAGACAAGGTTGCATAGTGCACCACATGCTGCTGCTTGAACTGTCTGTGATTCATCATGCAATAACTACCGTATATCGAGAAATAGTGGCTCAGTATGAAGGGGATGTCGTAATGAAGATCAAGACTATACCTTGACAAGATGAGGTGCAACGTTTTCATCTACAAAACTCGTTCGTAAATGGCTCACGCTTCTTGATAAAGATTTGGCGCACTGACAGGCGGCCAATCTAACGCTTGGTTGCTTGCTATTTAAACCTGAAATAACGTGCGGCAGTACTTTGGCTTCTATCGCTTGAGTACGGCACTCTTCTTTAGACAAAGTAGCGGCAGCAATAGCAATCAGGGAGTTCTAGAAAATATAGTTTGGTTATAAGAAAAGAGGATAAAATCATGTTTATATACCTCTTTTATCTTTTCCTTTCTCTTTGCCGTACTACCCATGCCAGGAATACCCAATTGACAGGTATGATCTTCAATCTCTCGTGAAGAAGAAGAAACACTGGCCAAAAGTTCTGCAAGCTTTGAAATAGCGTCCGCGTCATAAGCTGCCTTTTGCATTTCCTCGTCATCCTTTATCAAATCTGCCAATACAAGTGGTGCTCTTTCTTGAATATCCCCCGTAGGTTCTTGCAGTAACTTGACAAGAGCTGGAAGGACAATGAGGATGATGTCATTTGATGGTTCTGTAAACACACCAGTGCGATACAAGTTTGTCAAACTATTCTACAACGATTAGATCATTCTTTGTGTCAAATATGTGTCATTTGGGTAGATACACATACCATGTACAGGCAATGAGTCGCATGGCAGGACATTTTCCTTTAGCAAAGTCAAGCATAGTACTCAGCGTGGTCTGTCCAGTATTGGAGGCTGCGTTCAAATGAAAAAGGTTAATCAACTGTTATAGTTTATAAAAGAAGTTTTTACATTTTGATTGAATAATGATATTTCCCAATAGCCTGTTCTCATGACACAAGCTCGACAGTGCATCCAAGGCTGCCTCCTGTGCTTTAATACAGTGTGAGTGTAAGATGTCGACGAGTGGTTGAACAATGCCAGCCTCTTGTAGCTGTAACTGTTGAGTATCTGTGTCACAGCACTTGGATACGATGGCTGCTGTAAACTCGGCAATCATTGCAAAAGATAACCCTTCGGAGGTAGTTGCCACTGATGATTCTTCTATCAAAAACCCCGAGGTTACTTTAAGTATCAAAGCTAGATCACGAATATGTTTTTCCTATATTCCCAGATGTGTAAACCTATTCCTATTTTCTTAAAAAAAAAAAAGGCCAACTTACAGTAATACATGCGTTTCTTAGAGATTTGGATGAAGAGGCTGTAAAGATAGCTTTGAGTGCTCTTGTGCTGGCTTCGATCAATTTGCGTCTTTGACGTAATGACTCTATCAAGTGTTTGTCATGAGGGAGTGAGAGCGTGTTGAGTAAAGGAACGATTGAACCAGAAGTGATGACAGCAGACACATTATCGTCTTTGCCTATATTGTTAATAAGTATTTTTATATATGCATAATAGTTGTCCTTTACTTACCATAAGCAATGCTACCCAAAATAGTAGCTGCTTGTATCTTTAGAGTATATGGGCTCTCTTCTGGTAAGGAAAGGTAATCAACAAGTCTATATAGAACAATGAATGTCGTGTTCTTGTTTTCTTCTTCTTCTTCTTCTACCTTTGAACAACACCGAGCTTTATATACAACTCCTTTTTTGTTTTGTTGCCAATGACCGAGTTTTTGATAAAACGTAATGCTTTAAGTCTCTTGTTGCTATCTGGTGATCCTAATTCTTTAATAGATTCCTCGTACTTTGAAGTCGTCATTAATTAAAAAAAGAAAGAAAAAAAAAGAAGGAAAAATTATCTCCCAGCTTACAGGCAAAACAACAGTCAATCATCTTGCGGAATGTATATTTTTGTTTATGCAAAGGGATCATCTATAATATGAAGTATTCGAAGAGAGATGATTTGCGTACTTTCTAATTCGATACCCGAGAGTAGGCCAACCAATGTTATTTATTGATCGCATAGATAAAATTTTTTATTTTTTTTTTCAGTGTAGATCTTTGCTTTCTTTTTCCCTTTTTTTAATTGAAATAAAATGATTGCTCCAACAGAACCAACAGAACCAATTGAACGAATATCAAATGAAAAAATAGATAAAGAATCATCCATATCCAATGCTTATTCTTCACCAGATATCATTCCTCCTGATGGTGGAAGAGGTTGGCTTGTCGTCTTTGGTTCATTTATGGTAAATGAATAAAAACTGACTTTGAATTGACAATGAGCTGATAAAAAGTACTAGGGCATGTTTGCGATGTGAGTTTTGGGATAAAAAGTTGATATAGGATGTGTACTGATATTGTGCGTATTAGATTTGGATATAATTATAGCTGGGGTGTCTATCTTAATTATTATAGAACAAATGTATATATTGGTCAAATGAGTACTCTCTCTTGGATTGGCTCAATCTGTGTCGCGTTATTTTTTATTACAGGACCCATCAACCAAATACTTATTGAAAGAATGGGTTACAAATATATGCTTGCAACAGGTACTGTTTGTTGTACAGCTGCTCTTATTTTGGCCAGTTTTGCAAAAGAGGTAATTATATAAAATTTAACAAATCATAAAGATGAAACAAAATCTAAAAAAGGTACCAAATAAAAAAATATGACAGGTATGGCACGTATTTCTGACGCAAGGTGTCTTATTTGGCCTTGGAGCATCCTTTGTCAGTTTAACCTGTATTGGTGCACCTCAACAGTGGTTTTCAAAGAGAAGAGGTTTAGCTGTTGGCTTATCATTTTGCGGATCTGGTGTTGGTGGTTTAGTTGTAGCCAATATTTCTATGGCAGCTATCAAAAGCATCGGTTATCGATGGGCTCTTCGTATTGATGGTATTATCGTCTTTATTCTTTTATCGATTGCTACTTGCCTTGTTCGTCCCTTTGGAGATGTAAAAAAGACAGGTGGTCAAAGAAAGGTAATTAATTGGTATCTATTCAAAAATCCCATGTTTTCTGTCATGTTCATGCATGGTCTTATTACAACCTTTGGTTATATGGTAAGTCCTCTTTTTTTTTTTTTTTTTTTTTTTTT